TTTGTGTGGTGAAATACTATTCATGTGGTGAAAATTTTGCATAACTAACTTTTATAGTATGTGCTTCTTTTCCATACTTTGGCCATTTTACTGGGGAGTTCTAGCACATCCTAAAGTTAGGATGATTATTGAGAGACGAGGGTTTCACTCTGTTGCCCCGTCTGTTTTCAAACTCACTGTGCTTTGGTGATCATTTCGCTTCAATCTCCTGAGTAGCTGGAACTACAAGTGTTGCTGGCTCTAAAGTTACTTTTTTTCTGCAGTTGATTTCTCCTGGTATTCTACAAGTTTTGCACCAAAGGAAGTATTGAATTATGTGTGTGTGTTTTGTTTTTTTAAACCTTAGCCTCTCTTTTGTAATTTTGAGTTAAGAAATGAGCAGAAAATTAATTTTAAAATGTTTTTAGTTGAAGTTTTCCTTTAAGGAATATTTTTGATTTAAATTTTTAGACTCAGTTTTACAATGTGGATTAATATACAAGTCTGTTTTTTCTATTTGGTATTTGCCGGTAATGCTAAACACTTTTTCACATACAATTCAAATGCCATTTAGGCTAACAGTGAATAAGTTTGTTATACACATAGAGCTGTGAGCAAAGTTGTCATGAGTTTGTTTTCAACATTGGAGATATCCATTAGCCTTTTTATGTTTTTCCTGTTGAATTCAAAGTTATACATGTCATCTATCCTATTTTAGTGCTTTGTTACTTAATATCAAAGGTTTTATGTGAAAAATCTTGGTGATTATTTTTATAGAAATGAAAGTATGCCCCTGGTTAGGAAAAAGTAATATATAGGACTTGATAGGAATATAATAGATTGGGCTTATAACTCTTAGTTTCAATACTGTGAGATAACCTATTAAGATAGAATCTTTTGAGTTCATATTCATTTCAGGTTATCAAAAGTTGACTCCTAGCGGTATTGTATATTATAGTTTCCACTTGTGTGTATATGCCTTAAAAATTGAGTCATAACCATATGGTAGACATAAGTAATTGACCAGGTCAGTACAGAATGTTCTGTAAGGAAAACATTCTGAAGAAAATCATTATATGGTCAAAATTCTTGGCCTCTGGGTTCTAGCTGGAACCAAAGAGGCATTAAATTTTGTTTGAAGTTGAGGTGGTGATTATTCATGGGGGGCATAGATCTTCTTAGTACCAAAATTCAGAAGACTGGTTCCTCAACAGATTTCTTTGTTCAGAACTTTCTTCTTCTGGATGTGTCTATAATGAAAGGGGTTGAACTTGATAATCTCTAAGTGGCCCTTTCAGCTCTGGTTTTGTTGATACCTGGTAGAGGGGGGATTTGTATCTATCACATGTTACTTATTTTCAGAGAATTAAAGTTTCAGAACTTAACAGTTTTAAAAAGATGATTTTATGCATTAAAAGCAGATAGTACTTTGATAAACAGGTGCATTCTTACTTGCCATTCTTTCTTTTATATCTCAAAAATTATCTACAGATGGGCTGTTGGTTGATAGTGGTGCTGGTTAACAAGCTCTGAAGATGTTGGGAGCATTTTTAAGGTTACCTTGATGACTGTAGGTTAAAATAACTACTTACATTGATTTGAATGACTTAACAAATACCCCATAACATAGTAGGTATTAATTGCAAAAAGTGGGCAGATGAGAACTACCAAACTTGTTTAATAATAGTAATCTTTGCTTTTCAAAGTGAAAGTAGCAGTATCACACCATTCTCTTGTATTCAGTAATGCTGTTTGCGTCCAGGAGAAATTGCACTGAGATGGTGTTTGAAGTAGAGGAACTTCTAAGATGAATTCTGAAAAAGGCCGGCCTTTTAAAAGATTATTTTAATGTGGTGCAATTGTTTTGTGTTGCAGTACAACCAAGAGAGCTCTTTTAAAATATATTTTCCATTTCTCTACCCACAGAATCAAAATCTGAGGGTAAGGTTCAGGCACCTATTCATATTTTGACAAAGTTTCCCAGGTGATTGTGATGCTTACCTTAATTTAAAATATTTCAGTTTTGAAACTATTTAGCTAGAAACTAAGACTCATATTGACAGTGGTTTTTATGGTGAGGTTTCTCCCAATATATCACAGTTTATTTTATTTATTTATTTATTTTATTTTTATTGAGTTGGAATCTCACTCTGTCGCCCAGGCTGGAGTGCAGTGGCATGCCCACAGCCACCGCAACCTCGACCTGCTGGGCTCAGGTAATCCTTCCACCTCAGCCTTCCAAGTAGCTGAAACTACAGGCATACGCCACCATGCCTGGCTAATTTTTTGATTTATCGTAGAGATGAGGTCTCACCAACTTGCCCAGACTGGTCTTGAACCCGTGGGCTCAGGCAGTCCTCGCACCTCGGCCTCCCAAAGTGCTGGGATTATAGGCGTGAGCCACTGTGCCTGGCCTATCATAGTTTATTTTACCACAAATACTCTGTGTGTACTACAAACTCTGCACATGTGAACTTTGAATAAATGTTGATAGTTAACTGAGTTAGCAAGTAGTGAGTCCTTGCTATATGATTGACACTGTTAAGTTGTTTGTGTAGATTTTTTTCATTTGATACTCAACTGCATGAGGTAAGATCTTTATCCTCTTTTGATAGATTGAAGCACAGAGAAATACATGAATACGTACAGGCTTGTACAACTTGTCGGTGTTGGAGTTAGGATTTAAACTCAGAGGCAGTTTGACTACAGAGCTCTATACTTATATCCATTGTGCTAGAGCAACCTGCCCTATTGCTTTTAAATGGATAATTCATCTCAATGACAATAAAAATAATTTCTTTCATTCTAAACTGCAGACCTCTAGTCCTCTTTCTCATAAGCTGTCAGTATTAACAGAGTCTATTTATGAATTCCTTCATCCATTTTTAACATGTAAACAGTATACAAATATATATATACACACATATATTATATTTACATATAGGTATGTGTGTATATATATCTTTTATATACATACACACAAATGGGAGTTTCATAATTTTTTCTTCCTAACTTGGGAAGAGATTTTCCATATCAGTACATGCATATTTAATTTTTTCTTCTCCCCCTTTGTCTGCCTCTGTTTTAATATTATTCGGTGTTTCTTAATATTTTTTCTTGCTAAAATTGACAGTACTTAACATTAGCAGTTTGAACTTTCTTATCAGAGTTTATTTAGGATATTAATTGATTTGGGTATGTGCAACAGAAAGCAGCCCTTTTCTACTGTATAACTTAAAACCTACTTTTCTGTTACAGTGCAAGGACTCTCTTAAAATAAATTCCAGTAGAGTAATAGATTTAGTTATGATTAATTTGCACTCTCTTTGGCACCAGTTTCTCTAATGTCATATAATCATTCATTCTATTTCTTTGCTAGTAAATAGAAGTAATGAAAGAAGTATACTTGGAGTTGACTGGAGGGCTTACAAAAAACAGTGAAAAATTTGATCAGGTATGGTGGCTCATGCCTATAATCCAGCACTTGGAGAGGGTGAGCAGGAGGATTGCTTGAATCCAGGAGTTCAAGACCAGCCTGGGCAACATAGCAAGACCTTGTCTCTACAAAAAAAACTTAAAAATTAGCATGGTAGCGTGCACTTGTAGTCCCAGTTACTGAAGAAACTGTAGTGAGCCAGGATCGTGCCACTGTACTCCAGCCTGGACAGCAGGGTGACACTCTGACCTCCCCCCCCCAAAAGTGGAAAATTTGATTTATATATGTCATAATTCCATCCATGATGGTTGGTTTGTTTTATCACCTTAAGTGATTTTCTAAATATCATCCTTTTAGCTATACAATAAATTTCTTATAGAAAGTCCATATTGGTTAAGAACTGTGTTTTGAGCTAAATTGTTACACTTACAAAACTAGTTTCATCAGCCGGGCGTGGTAGTGCATGCCTGTAATTCCAGCTACTTGGAAGGCTGAGGTGGAAGGATCGCCGGAGCCCAGCAGGTCGAGGCTGCAGTGGCCGGCAGCGGCCACTGCACTCCAGTCTGGGTGACAGAGTGAGACGCCAACTCAAAAAAAAAAAAAAAAATAAATAAATAAAACTAGTTTCACAATTTCTTGTTGCTGAGGTAGATCATACACTGATTTTATAGAAGAGGTGAATGAAATCTAGAGATTTAGTTGTCCAAGGTCATGGCCAGGTGAGCTGCTGTTGAAATCCAAGACCTCTGGGACCATTGCTCAGTTTATGGGTTTTTTTGTTTTTGTTTTGAGTCAATCTCACTGTGTTGCCCAGGCTGGAGTGCAGTGGCACACTCATGGCTACGGCAAACTCATCCTGCTGGGGTCAGGTGATTCTTCTGGTCTACAACCACGCCTGGCTAATTTTTAGATTTATTATAGAGGCAGTCTCACCAAGTGCCAAGACTGGCCCTGAACCCCTGGGCTCAGGCAGTCTTCTCACTTCGGCCTCCTAAAGTGCTGGGATTATAGACCACTGTGCCCACCAGTTTACTGTATTTAAGCTGTTTTTTCCTCGTGTCTTTATTAAGATACTACAGTTTTATAGTTTTCTTTATTTATTTCGTTTGTTGTTAACAGTAATACTATGAAGAATACATGACATGTTAATTTTGTGTCTGAAGAATCTAGGGTTAGGGGCTGTGGTTTGTATAAAAGGCAAACTCTCTTAATACCTATTCTATTACAGTACTTAAGCCAAGGTGTTTTGACTTTAGGTGCAAAGCCTGTTTCTGCACAACTAGAAATGTGGAAACAAAGACTTATTTGTGTCCATGCAACGTTTTCTTTGAATTGAGGATTTCCTGGCTATTGCATGGAAAATCTAAGTATTTTTATGTGCTGAGTTCTAGTCCACTTGCCTTGACTTTGTTTATATCCTGACATTTTGTAACACATTAATCAGTGTACTGAGTCATTACAGCATTGATGAAGGCAATAAAGTCAAATTCTTTGCATAAAATTTCTTCGCTTTCAATGTCCTTCATTTCTTTTTTGTATTGTATCATGTACATCTATTAAATTTTATTTTTATTTTTTCTTTTAGTGAATGGTAGTGTCTAGAAAGGGTATGTCCCTTCAAGAGAGAGGTGCCAATGTCCAACCGGCCTAATAACAATCCAGGGGGGTCACTGCGACGTTCACAGAGGAACACTGCCGGGGCCCAACCACAAGACGACTCAATAGGAGGAAGGTATGTATTTCATGGTAATTTGAAAAGGAATTGGGAATAAAATAAAATATTAAAAACCTCATTGTGAGGACTAAGACTCGAACAGTTATTGCAAATAGGTAATTTTTCTAATTTTTGAGCCAAGTAATGCAAAGAAAACTAGAATTCAAAACAACTCCTAAATCCTTCCCAAATATTCTGGGCTCAAAAAAATAGTTCTTCGTCGTTGGCATTATCAGAAACCTAATATAGTGTCATTAGCATATGGTGTGTCATGTTTTATTTGTCCTTTCTCTTTACTTCCTTAAACACATGGTGCAGCACATCTTTCAACCATTTGTAGTCCCTTTCCTTATGTATGTCTTGACGTAGTAATACTGGGCTTGAAAGATGTTTGTTTCATTTGTTTTAAGAACTTGCGCTTTGGGGCAACCCCCTCGGGTCCCCTCCCACTGTGGGAGCTTTTCTATCCTCTCAGTAAATCCTGCTTTCTCACAAAAAAATAACTTGAGATTTGATACTTAGCTTTGACTTTTGTCACATCATACTTTTTAAAAACATGGATGCTCACAGAATAGTAAGGTACTCTATCTCTGTTGGCAAATCAGTGGTCTTACCATTTTTTTAATGGTCTGAGTTTGTCTTTTCAGTTGGAGTAGTTATGCTATATGAGATAGTGTGAAGATCACTCTTACATGTACAATTTTGGGTCTGATTTTGCCAAGGATTGTAATTATGTGTACGATATTCAGAATACTTCTTGCAAGGCCCAGTTCTCTACTCTTAGCTTGTGATAATGGCTAAATTCCAATAGGATTGCCTGATGTAGCAATTTGACACACAACCATGTATATACTTGTAAATTGTCAGGTGTAAGTAATGAACAAAAAAATCGAAGCACATCATGTTGATGTCAGACTATTTAAGTGGTTAAGCATTTGGACTTTGGACTAGGACAGTTTTGTGTGTTATTTCTGCCTCTGCCATTAAATAGCTGTGTGTCCTTTAAGATAGTTTTAGGATACCTCAGTTTCTTGGTCCACATGGTGAGGATATTTGTTTCATAGTGTTATTGGTTAATTTAGTATTATAGCATATTAAACTCTTAGCACTATACTTAATGTAGAATTCTGTTCTGAAATTTACTTTTTTACATTTGAAGTATTTCTTAGAGCAGCCATACTTTATGCTGTTGATTTTAAAATGTCATTCCTCCTTTAATAAAAGTGTTACATATTCACGGCTCTACTTCCTGGTCTGAGGTGAACCTTCCACCTCAGCCTCCTGAGTAGTTGATATTACAGGTATGTACTGTCGTCATGCCTGGCTAATTTTTTGTAGAGATGAGGTCTTGGTTTGTTACCCAGGCTGTTCTTGAATTCTTGTGCTCAAGCTGTGCTCTTGCCTCGGCCTTCCAAGGTGCCTAGGATTACAGCTGTGAACTTTCATGCCCAGCAGCTTTCACATTTTTCTTTTTCTTTTCTTTTTTTTTTTTTTGAGTCTGTGTCTCACACTGTCACCCAGCCTGGAGTGCAGTGGCACGCTCATGGCCACCGCAGCCTCAACATGCTGTGCTCAGGCGATCCTTCTGCCTCAGCCTTCCAAGTAACTGGAACTACAGGTGGGTGCCACCATTCTCAGTAATTTTTTTATTTATTGTAGAGACAAGGTCTCACAAAGTTGCCCAGGCTGGTATTGAACCCCTGGACTCAGGCAATCCTCTTACTTCAGCCTCCCAAAGTGCTGGGATTATAGGCTTGAGCCACCACACCCAGCCACATTTTTCAACATACGTTTCTTCAAAATACATTGCCCCACAAAAGTAATACACAGAAGAGGGCATATTTCCTTTTTTTTAAAGTCCAGAATTATCATATGTGTCATTTTTCATATGATTAAAAACAGTTTGTAAGCTGGGCTCGGTGGCTCAGACTGTAATCCCGCGCCTTTGGGAGGCTGAGGTGAGTGGATTGCCTGAACCCGCGGGTTCGAGACCCGTCTGAGCAACTTGGCGAGATCTCATCTCTACAATAAATCAAAAATGACCAGGCGTGGTAATGCGTGCCTGTAGTTCCAGCTACTTGGAAGACTGAGGCGGAAGGATCGCCGGAGCCCAGCAGGTTGAGGCTGAGGTGACTGGGAACGGCCACTGCACTCCAGTCTGGGCGACAGAGTGAGACTCCAACTAAAAAAAAAAAAAAAAAAAAAAAAAAAGTTTGTAAACACGACTTTTACAGTTTTTGTGTTAAATTGTGTGACTATCCCATGATTTAAAGTAGTAAGTTTAAGCCGGGCTCAGTGACTTAGCCTGTAATCCCGCGCCTTGGGAGGCTGAGGTGAGTGGATTGCCTGAGCCCGCAGGTTCGAGACCTGCCTGGGCAACCTGGTGAGACCTCATCTCTACAATAAATTAAAAAAAAATTAGCTGGGTGTGGTAGCGTGCTCCTGTCGTTCCAGCTACTTGGAAGGCTGAGGCGGAAGGATCGCCGGAGCCCAGCAGGTCGAGGCTGCAGTGGCCGGGAGTGGCCACTGCGCTACAGTCTGGGCGACAGAGTGAGACTCCAACTCAAAAATAATAAAAAATAAAAAATAGTGAGTTTAAATATATTTTTCCCATTTATTTTTATGTGAATAAGTATCATTCTAATCAGGACATAGACTTTTGCCAGCAAATCTTATTAGTTTAGCTAAGCACGCAAATTAGAAGATATTGGCTCATGTTAACAAATTTGCGACCGGCAAAATTTTCACTTTCCTAATTCTGAGAGCAGGTGAAAATAAAAAAAATCTGAAGCTGGTTGCCACAGACTTTTGTCATTAAATATAGGTGAAATGGCCTTTTCTAAATTGTCACTTTTTTTTTTTTTACAATGAACAGCTGAAAGTCACAGACATATATCCAGTATTTGCTTCAGACACCACTCTGACTAGCATTCCATACTTTGTGTTTTTATTTGGATTATAAACCCGAAAAGACAATCTTCCACAATGAGATAATTCACGTCAGTGGCAACCAGGAACAGAATTTGAAATGGTGTAAATTCACCCCAAGAGTTACAAATGAGTTAATATCATTTTGCCTTCTTTGTTTGATTCTTTTGCTCATGATAGAATCTAAAAGCTGGAAGGAACTTTGAAGACCTTCTAATCAAACCAGACTGACCTTCTGAAATCCCTATAGAGTATACTATTCTAGCTATTATCTTATCTCTCAGAAATTTATCCAGGGATTTTTGGGGTTAAGGGGATTGGAATTAATTGGGATAGAGCAACTATATTTTCATTCCACTATTAATATATTTTCATTCTCTTTATGTGACTCCTGTTGTGCGCTTTCCTAAGTAAAATGTTGTTACGGTGGCTTGTATTTCTTGAAAATTGTGGGCTTCTACTTGTGACCGGTATTCATAGTGACACATTGATGCAACTAATATTTATAACAGCATCAGTGGGGTGTTTTAAGTTTAAAAAGTATTACACATATTCTTTTAGTTGAGACTCAACGAAAATCTGCACCAAGTATATAATCTCTATTTTACAAATATGCAAACTGGCTCAACCTAGTCTGTAGTCAGTACTTGATTCCAGACCTCTTGACCCTAAAAAGTCTGTGATTCTTTTCATTATGCCAGACTGTTTTCACTGCACAGACCACTTGATTCCTATGATGGAGTTTGATGAAGGTATAAAATACTTGTAACTAAAGAATATTAACTTAGTTTAGAATTTAAACAGCATGTTTCCCTCCTGGAATTTTGGCATTATTTTGTTTGTTTGTTTTGTTTATTTATTTATTTATTTATTTATATTTTTAAGAGATAAGGTCTCTCTCTGTTGCCCGTACTGGAGTGCAGTGGCATGATAATGTCTCACTGCAGCTTCGACCTCAGGCTCAGGCGATCCTCCTGCCTCAGCTTCCCAAATAGCTGGGACTTCAGGCATATGCCGCCATGCCTGGCTAATATTTTGAAATTTTTTTTAGAGGTGTATTTCCCAGGCTGGTGTTGAACTCTTGGGCTCAGGCAATCCTCCCTCCTTGGACTCCCAAAGTGCTGGTCCTACAGATGTGAACCACTGTACCCAGCTCATTAGTTCATTTTTGATTCACTTTATTTACTTCACCGCACGCGTTAAGCTATTTGTGTAGCTTCCTTCCATTGACCACTCTTGCTCTTTCCATAAATCAAGGCTGTGTGCCTTTTTTAGAAGAATAGTTTGTATTCACATTTAAAAAGGTAGCATTTTGAATATTTAAAATCTCTCCTGACTGTTCCCTCTGCTCTTTTTCACTCATTCATCACTCTCTGTAATTGAAGCAGACATCCTATTCCTCTTCTATTACTTTGCTCTTCTTTCTTCTGTGTTTTTTTGAACTATAGCTGTTCCGTTCCTCTCTTTTCTGTTCTCTTTTTCTTCTTTAGGAAATCACTTCCTTCCACTGCTTCTCTGTGTTGGCTTGCTCTCAGGTATATTTCCTACCCTATTCCACTTCTAGTACAGGTACTTGTAAGCTACCACCTCCCTCTTGGCAATGCAGTGGCATTTTTATTATGTACTTTGTCCTGTTTTTCCTCAAATGGCAGTGATGGGATTGAATTTAATTTTATAGCAACTTTACTTGAAATTGCTTTAGTGATAGATTCTTCAACATTGTCTTTATTCTAAAAGCAATGCATATGGAGAATAAAAAAATTGGGAAACCTCAGGAAAATAAGATAACTTTAATCATACCACTCGGAGATAATCATGGTTAATATTTCAATTCTGTGTTCTTAAATTGTTTCCTACGTGTATTTTCAACATAATGATAATAGGGACAATCCCAGCCCTTTGGGAACCTGAGACCAGAGGATTGCTTGAGGCCAGGAGTTTGAGACCAGTCTTAGCAACATAGTGAGACCCAGTGTCTACAAAAATTTTTTTTTGAGTTGGAGTCTCACTCTGTCACCCAGACTGGAGTGCAGTGACCGTTCCCAGCCACTGCAGCCTCGACCTGCTGGGCTCCGGTGATCCTTCCGCCT